ACAAAATGATTTGCTGTAGATGAATTGTAATTGTGTACATAAAACAAAATGTATATAAATCGTTACAAACTTTTTCTGTTATCTCAACAAAATAGTAGGATGATATTCTGTAGTATTAAATTCATGTTTTGTATATATAACGGAATGAATTCAGTCACCTATACATAATTTTAGTTGTCAATACCGAATCAAGAATAGTACTGATAACAACATAATATGGTTTATCTAACGATTTACAGTCAACAAAATTACATTTGTGTACACAACTAATGGTTATGTTGTCACTGAGGCAACTAAATTTCATAGTTATTGTTACCATATTTTGGTTCCAATAACTAAACTTTTTTTTCAGTGCAACCAAAACAATAATAGTACCTAGTACTCAATTTTTTTTTTATTGTTCATGAATAACAATTCATACTCATTTATTATTACATGAGCTTAACTATTTTTTCCTTTTACATTTGTGGCCCAATCTCCAAGTACCCTTTAAAAATATAAATTTAATTTGTGGCCCATTTACCGATTACCCCAATTGCCTAATGTATCCGACCTTAATAATCTTTTTTTTACTACTTTTGGGTGCAACAAGTTTCTAAAAAAAAGAAAATATTTTTATCAATTTATATCCGAATAATAGCCTTTGTCACATTAAGAGGTTACGAATATATAACTGATTTTTACTTGGTATTTTTTCTGTTATTCTTATAAAATACTTATAAAAACTAATTTTCTTAAAAAAATGTTTGTGCATATTTTTATGTAAAGTTAATAATTTATATATTTATATTTTCGGGGGCATAAAGTATAAATGCATATTGTAAGTCCCGAACTCTATAGATATAATATACTAAAAACTATACTACTGCAATATTATTACCCGAGCGGCCGAGCCCCATTCTATCATTTATAAATTGAAAATGGACTGTTTGAATACGAATTTTAAATAATTAATACGATTTGTTGTTTTTAACATTGTAATGATTATAATAATAATAATAATTTAACACACAATAATCATATGACAACACGAGTTTTTACAATAAGAAATCTGTGTCGAATATAATAATAATAATATGATCGTCACACGATATAATAATATGTATTCGCATAAACATTTGAAATGTTAAAAATGCATAATAATATCAAAGGTTAAATCATAATAATACACGATTTATAATTTACTTAAGAGTTAAGACTTTCCGCCGCACGACCAAACTGCAGCGAATATTATAATTTATCATATAATATTACATAGTGTCAAATAAATCGACCGTATAATATACTATAATAATTATCGTAACGTTTAAAACACCCTTCGGACACACATTATTTAAATCGTAAAAAAAGGAATCATCAAACTCGTTTATAAAGTCATTAACGGTGTACACACGCTATATTAAATTAGGTTTATTCGTTTAGTATAATATTATAATATCATAATGTTCTACACTGCTATACGTTTCCGAATCCGGTGTAAATGTCACGCACGACAAACCCTATATATATATGTTATCGTCCCCGGGGACGAAAAAAAAAAATAAACGATGAAATAGAGTGGAGGGGTGGTGGGTGGTGAAATTGTAAATTCGATGATATGATGCGGCGGAATAAAATAATCATTTACACACTAATAGGTATAGTTTGGTTTGGATTCTACACACGTCCGAACGAATTACGAAAACCAAAAACAAAACGAGAATTTTTTCCAGGTGGCAGGTGAACTGCAATAATAAAATTAATATCAATAACAAAGTAAGTATAGTAACTAGTAATGGTATTAGCAGATGGTTCCAGGTTTCTCGGGTGTAAGTCAATGTCGTATATCTGAAGCTCAACCAAGGGAGGGGGTGAACTATAACTGTTATTAATCAACTTCTTGGATTTTTTTGATTTTTATTTAATTTTACAGTTGTATTACTAAAAAAACAGTTATAAACAAATAGAAAAAAAATACCCAACTTTCCTCAAATACGCCACTGGGGGTAAGCATGATTTCAGCTCGATGACCCCCCGAATGGACTAGGATTTTATCTATGATAAATTTAACTTCCGTAATCGTTAATGTATGACCTTAAATACTCGTTCAGTCATGTGTAAATATCGTTTCTGTCTCATAATTTTTTTAATTTAACATCTTAGGAATATATTTATATAGATAGGTAATACATTTTTCAAATAATAAATATATAAAATAAAAATGTTAACACTAAAAATTAAATTATAATAATATAGATACCAACCTTCTATATATATTATTATAATGCGAGTATTGTATACAACATTTAAATAGGTTTTCGATGTATGCAGTAACAGATATTATATAATATTAATAATATGTATTAATTAATTTTTATGATATAAAATAGTAACTCGAGATCTATATATAAATATAATAATACATTCACAATAATAATGCATTATTAACGCTGAATAAATAAACTTGTTGTTTTCCCAAATCTACTAACAATTATTATGTAATCTAAATATACCTTACGATTTTTGTATTACAAAGAATTATGTTTTTGTGTCGAAATCGCTATTATTATTTATTATTCTTAAACACAGTATACATTAATAATTCAAAACATATGTTATTTAATATTATATAGGTAGGTATAGTACTGCAGACTGTAGTAGTAGTTTAGTACACAATAATTATACATTTATAGTATTTTTGATATACGATAGTATCATACTAATAATCAACACATAAATAAATCACACGCCTTTATGTAATAATATAATAAAACGCTGAAAATAAAAACAAATCAAAATTCGATCAAAAACTTAAATCTAAATACAATATTTATAAGCCATATTCAATCATATGATAAATATTGAATTTCTTAATTATCTAATTAACGTGTTTGATATAATTTTTTTTTTTTTTTTGGTATTTTATAATTAATATAATTAACTCATATCATACAAACTGCAGCCTTCGGAATTAAATTTCAATTTTTTTTCTGTCCCTAATATTGAGTACCTATCTAATCGTTAGTGAATTTTGGTTGATTATTATTTATGCTAGCTATGCAACCTGTACAATGTAGATACGCATACAATATTCAGCCATTCTCTATTTATGATAAGCATATAAAATTCTAATGGGTTATTGTCTTAATCGATCATTTATATGCATCATCCGTAGACCGTAACGACGCCTAATATAATACCTAATATATGATTTAATCGTAATACCACATAAAATGGTAGTATGATATAATATAAATAGAATCAATAACAATTGATATTTTAAGTTTTAACAGATCAACGGTAATTTACATTATATATTTACCCCTATGTATCATCATTATCACTATAATATAATACAATTATATTATAGTCTTGGAATGTATATTTGAACTGTAAATCATCATAATCGAATATTAGAAAAAAATAAAAATACTTTTTTTTTTACTTTCGCTGATACTTTAATCCGAATTTGCAGTTTCGTCAAATGAATAAATTATCACACTTAATAAGTCATGATATATAAATTAATATATATTATGATAGTTTTTGAAAAAACTTTCAACATAGCCACTTTGGCTGTTTTTCAATATTGTAAAATTAAATTGTATATTATTATTCTCCAATTATACTAGTGTAATATATTCCTATATAATTTTCCTATATATAATTCCTATTTATAGTTTGTGCGCACACGTTTTTTTCACGCTAAATTATTTCATTTTAATACTTATTATTTTTCTTATTTACTATAAATAATATATAATATTTTATAGGTATAGTATATAGCCATACAGGTAATAATATAACATAATAATAATATTAATACATTCATAGATTAGGTAATAAATGTAATGAATAGTCTCAACAGCAACACAGACACGCACACGTTACGAGTTATTCATATGTATTATAATATAATATATAGGTAGGTACTAGGTAGTTATAGGTAGGTATGTAGGTAACAATAATCATTATTATAAATTATTAATATCAGCTACATAGTATGTTTGAAATATATCATACCATACGTTCAAATATATTGTTAACTTGTATAAAACACTTATCTAGAAATTATATAAAAATATTGTTCCCCGTGTGAGGAATATCGTGGAAGTATGAATTTCGAAAACATTGAGTAAACGACCCGGCACGGCCATCATGGTCGCCGCAGGAGATTATTCAAATGGGTAACATACGCGTGCCAACAACCCTCCTCCCTCTCAACACAAACACACACACACACATACAAGTAAGTGCATCTCATTATTCGCTGCATAACTTGTCTGTGCTCTGCAAAATGCGTCACGTCTTAAGGCCGGCGTACATCTAAAACATACACGGTGTATTTGGAACATATGACTTGGTATTTAAACGTAATTCAATTAAAATTTTCGAATCCTCCATAAAGGTTAAAAGGTACACAGTTCTGCTATCGAGTGACGTTTGACGAGAGACGATAAAAAATGCTCACTCGAAGTCGATAGGTACATCGTATATGTATATAAAATATAAATACGACCCTTGCGCCACTTTTTTACCACCGATCTGAACGTCATGATGGACATATGTTTTTTAATGATTAAACGTGGGTTCAACATTTCGAGCATGTGTATTAATAGCTGAAGTACCTATACAATAATTATATTCGTTGTAATGTTTAAATTAATGGTTTTCAGGGGTGCACCCTGGCATGGCATAATCGAATAGGACCTTTTGACCAAACTTATTATCTGTATCTATATCGGTTATGAAAAAAATGTATGATCACCCTCTCATAATCCTACCCCTCCCCCGACTGTTACGATAAGTGAAGCCGGATTTGGCTGACTTACGGTCGCTCCACGAGCAAGACATATTATTACATTATTATTATAGATAATTTACATCGCTTGACCACGATACACATATTTAGATCATTGAATTACACAATATAGTATATTACACATAGCACGATAGTAATATTATTACATTATCGTCTCATAAACATTTCTTATCATACTCGCACGCGCTGCCTATACGTTTCATCGTGTCCCCTGTGCGTTAATTCCTTCCGGACGTTGTAGCAGCTGTTCCGATGGCTCGACTGTCGCCGCGGGTTCCGGGATATTTCCGCTACTGCCACCGCTAATGGCCGCTGCCGAATGATGGACCAGCGCTCTGTGTTCGATGCGGCTCACCGACGACGCTTTCGACTTGTCCTTAGAGTTCAACGTGGTCTGACTGTTTCTGGAACACTCATCCTGCAAGGCACGACAAAATGATATCAATAACATAATATAATTATATATCATAATATATAGCTGCTTGGTGCATAACAATCATTAGTATTTAGTTTTATTAATTTTTAATTTTTTTATATTGGTCTTAAGCTCGGCAACTATAATGGTCATTAGCTGTTTGTAGGGTGGGGACAGCTGGATTGGAACGAGTGTGTGTATGTGTGGCCAAGGTTTCTCACTAAAAACCCGGGTGGTCACCCATCCGGGAACTAATAGTGACAACGGCTGGTTCTTGCACCCAAGTTTCGTGACGCGCGGAATGCAACCACCGCACCACACAAAACCACTATTAATTATTATATTGCACAATTAATTGTATATGTATAATAATATGCCATATAAACTTAATACGTTATTATAATTGGCATATTTGTTCGGAAAGTACCTACCTAAATAGAAAAATCTGATTCAATACAAATTTGTTTCAAGATGTCTACAGATTTCAAATTGAATTATGTTTTTTGCATATTTAAACAGATTTAGGGTTTTGAATAAATAATTAATTAACTAATATTTTTTATCTTGACGTGGTTTAAAATATTCAACATTTTGGACTTTTTTAGAAACTTTTTATGTAAATACAAACTTAATAAAAAATGTACATTTCTTTAATTTTTTTGTTTCCTTCGTGGTAGATAATAGTAATAAACTTATAATGAGAAGCAATTAAACATCATAATTAATTGATTTTTCAAAGTTTTTATGATTACATATTTTACTGCATACAATATATTTTTAATGACACACATTCAATAAAATACTTCAACTTTTGTAAGTGCACATTTTAAAGTTGTACTTTTTTAGTTTACTTTTATAAAGTGCCAAAAAAAAGGAATTTCACATATTAATATATTATGATGCTGTTATCTTACTATAAATTAATAATATCCTGTACAATTTCAGCCATCCAATTCCTACCTAACCAATGGTACTGTTGTTTTTTTCGTTTGGATATAGGTACTTAATACAAAATCATTATTTGAGCCATATTAGTTTTTTTTTAAGTTGACGAATGTCTGTGGGTCATCGGTGATAATAATATAATATGTTTAATAATCAACTTATCACGGATTTAACATGAAAACATTGATTGAGCATTTGAACGTCATACATTAGGAATTGTTCAAAACGTTTAAAAAGTCAGTTTATTATTATGCCACCTTTAACAGTTAAAAACTTTAAAACTATTAAACTATATACATAATTTTACATTTCAGCTATAATATATAAATTCAAATTTTTGTAGTTCGATTTGACACATTCAGATCTAGAATTGGCACCTATTGTTCAGGAAATTAACTTTATTTTTTTGATTGTATTATAATATGGAATTTAACAAATTAAAAAAAAAGTTTAATTAAGTTAATTAATTGTAGGTACCCTAGCTGTAGTTAAATTTACAAACCGTTTTTATCGTCAATTAACCAAACCGCATTTCGACCAAACCATAACATTGAGGTTCAATAAAATATGCAAAATAGGTGATCTTATAAAATAAATTCTTAAGCTAAACTTTTGGGAATAATTACATTTACGCCGATTAAGTATTTAAATCAAAACCATACCTACTATAATTATTAAATTACAGTTTATGTAAAAGTTTAAACGTAGCAATATTTAAAATTAAATTTTACAATATTTATACTTGTAAACAGACCGAAGGTCATATAAAAATTGAAATGTAATATTTTATGTTTATGTACAACTTCCTTTTACCGTCGTTATAATATATTATAGGTTAATGCGTAACCTTGAATTACAGTTGTAGGCTAGATGGCAATTCATTTTTACGGCATTTACTTCAAAAGCAGAATAATAATAAATTAAATATTTAGGACCTATTATACCGGGCATCTATACAGGACCCAAACATATTATACCATAATTCCTGACTATAGTGAATAAACCTTTGGTCCAGACGAACCATATACAACCATATAAATTCGTTCAACATCATATTTTAGGGGATTTTGATGTTAAGTAGGTACTCTCAACTCCACATATACACGTCATGACGTGCGGCGTTATCCCGATACAATGAAAACCTGCCGAGCAATATACAAATAAAACGAATCGTGGTCAGAGTGAAAGGTATAATTTATTACGTTTTGAATTTGTTACGAAAAAGAAGACGTTAATAAGATGAATCGGAATTGTATAGAATATGTAGAAGAATACCATGAAGACAGCTGGAGTTTGAACAATAATAATAATACCGCGAATTTCATTTCAAATCGGACTTTTTAAGATGTATGGATGTGTGTGTAGTGTATGTCTTTTTTTATTTACTTTAGAACTATTTTGTATTAGTTGTTCGGTCGAACAATGACTAGGTGGAGTGCCTTTTGCTTCTCTGTTCTTTGTCGAATGCCTTCTCTGCTGGTCCCTTTGATACCATTTCAAGTTATATGTTTTCACTGAAGATGTGCTGTGCACAGCTGGATCGCTGCCGGTGCGGCCGTAACCTATATATATCAAAAGAAAAATTGACAATTTGTCATCAAGCCACGGGCCTCGGAGTGCGTGGTCGTCCTGCGCCAGATGCAAGCATATATAGTATGTTATATGGATGCGATTTATAGTAATAGGTAGTATAACATATAATTATGCGCTGTGTGCAGTATATTATGTTTAGGTACCCAATTTTTTCGCCCTTTTTGCCCTGCCTGGGGAGGCCGTTGGTGACTCCGACGTGGACGGCCGGCAAGAGATCAATATGAAAGCAGCTGCCCTGGCAGCTCCTACCCTGCTGGTCTCATCGTCTTTGGCCTCCGACTGACCAGCACTGCTCTCGTCTTCTTGTTGGCCGTTGGCCGCCCCAGAGTCTGACGTTCCGTAATGTTTGCTCGAAGACGCTTCTGCAAACACGGGACAAAATTAAAATGTCATACAAAAAATCTATTTGCAAATCCGGCGACGGACAATCGCATCCACTATATATTTATTATACGCGGGTATGTATATTACCTATGCATTCTTAAAGTTGCGAAATTTAAGACCTGAATTATACACAGAATGTTCATCATTAATTTTTTTTTCTCGAGGAATGTAGAGTGTTTGTGTGAAGTGTAGGAACGCTATAAAAAGTTTTACATGGTGGTCGGATAAAATTGCTGCAAATGAATACTGTCACTGCTGCAGGTCTTTACTGTTATATGACTGAGTAGAGTTGACATAATGAAGTACTTCAGGAAAATGTAGCAACTGCAATATTCAAAGTATTCATAATAATAGCTAGCAGTTATATCACGACAAAACTTTCAATCGTACTAAAAAACTAGATAATTAAATTTCAGATGCTTAGAATAGTTTAACAGTTCAAAATTACCCATATATGTTTTTAGTTTTTTGACATGGTAAACGAAAGGTATATTATGTCAAAAACTTCACGAAAATTAATGAAACTCAAAATTAACTAAGCAATTTTTAAATATTGTCTCATTATGAATTTTTTATAAAATAAGTTAAAAACTGCATAATCTAACGACCACTTATTGCAAAAAAATGTGTTAAATAATATTATTTTTTTTTCATTGTGGTTTCAATTCTGATTATCAACGAATATATTTATATAATATATCTCTAAAAAATAAAAATAAAATAAACGGACACTAACTAGTAAGGCGTAGAATAATGCTACTTATATAATAAAAATAAAATATGTTTTGACATTGGTCCCACTAAATGATGTTGACAATTCCAACTGCCCGTTATTATACCTATCGGCTATCAGGCCTATTATAGCGAGGAATGTGGGACAGCCTTGAAAATGATAATCAAGATTAAATTACTAAGTTATTAGTAGTGGTATAATAATGACTAATCACTCCAACAATTATTGTACTTGTATCATAGGTACTACTCAATATTCATACTGTCATACTGACATCATACACCAATACAGTATACTAATATACATATAACAGACTACATGTATAAGAGAATCGCCCGTATTAACAATAAATAATAAATATATATAATAACTATATTATGTTTACTTTTAAAACGCTAAAATAAGATTTATAAAAATTCTGCCAAAATATTATAGTAAGGTGTTCTATGTTTCGTGAAAATCTCTAGCTTGGAAGAAAGTAGTTTAAACTTTAAGGTACCTATTTATAATTAAAACTGATTACGTATATGACATTTATGTTGAAATATATGCATACGTGGCTTCCAGCTGCACACTTATATAGGTACATAATAAATATTATTAAAAAAGTGGGTAAGCGGATGTCACTCTGCTGTATAGTAAGTTACAAGTGTAACTATATAAAATGTAATTATATAACGTTTTCTATGAAATGTATTCACAATTCGAAATACGATTCGATGAGCGTGAGTATACGGCGAATAGAGGTATACCTATACCGAACAGGTATAGACGTATAAATGTTGACAACAATACAACAACGCAACCTCTGACGGTGAGCAGCTTGATGAATGGAAACTCATAGAAACGAAATAATAATCTATGGGAAAAAAACGCTGTTTACCTATTTTACCCGCGAAACTAATAAATTCAGGTCTACGAAATGGTGGTGGCGAGGTGGGACAAAATAAATAACAGCAAAGAGAACAGAGCTGATCGTACATCACTGTCTCCACCTCCTCCCTCTTTCATCGCGACGACCCCGACCACCATTGTACTGCCCCGATCGTTTACAATTACTCGCCCGACACAACAGCGTGTGACGGTGGCGGTATAGAGTGGTCGTATAGGGAGGGCACAACACACAGTACACACACACACACACACACACACCCACACATAAATATATATGTGTGTACCACTATAAATAGTGGCGATTGCTGGTCGTTGGCCGATGATGATCGTTGCCACTACGTGAGAGGGTTGTCAAGACGCGCCGGAATGGTACAGCTCATGAATTAATTCACGCAGGTAGACACACGTATAATACGTGAATCCGTGTAAATATATATGTATGTATATGAACATATATTATTTAACCCATATGTAATACATATATATACCTACCTATAATACAGAGTGAGCAGCAGTTTAAGTACGCGTGGGCTGTTGTAGGGGTGGCGGAGTCATCACTGCCCACCCTGTATGCTGTACGCGTAGGTAGTTCGTATTATATACATAATATACACGAGAGGTAAGCGGGAAAACCAGGTGGTCTCTTTCCGACCGAGTGATCCCCTCCCTCGAGTTTTCCCGTCAGGTGGGGGAGGAACATCGACTACCCCCTCCCACATCATCGACCGATGCGCGCGCAAATACACACACACACACACACACACACACACACACCTACACACACACGCACACGCACACACACACACCCACCCACCTACACACCCACCCACACCCACACACACCCACACACACGTCACGCCAAAAATCGATAGGAGGCGACCTACTAGTTTGACGTGAGCACAGCAGCTTGTTCGGATATAAGTTGGTGGTCGGGAAATGCCGGGGTCTGGAGGCCGTGGACAGGCGCAGCCCGAAACAGATGAGCGCCGAGAACACTAGCAGGCCGACCACGACGCCGAGCAGCGACGAACCGCCAGCTTTGCCGTCCGAATCGTCTGCAGAATGACAACAACAAATACAAACCATAATAATATATATTATTATACACGCACATACAAAAATATATCATACGATTATATTATAATACGCCTGAAAATACTATGTCAAACTTCATTTACTAACTGACTTACGTCCTGCACTGCATTCAAATGCGTGCTAGCACGTGGTACATAATATAATTATAATATATTATGTATACCCACGTATCTAAACATAAATCATGTTCGGTATTCGACTTCCATATTATTATTAGGTATATCATATTATGACCATACGAAATAAACTTATAGGTATTATGTATATAATATAATATATTATATAAAAAAAACACTCACCTTGGGCACAAAAACTGCTCCTGGCGTTGGTAGGCCTGGAAACGGTAACGATGTGGTAGCCCTGTTTGCACTTGCATATTGCGTTGTGGTCCACCTGTGCGCACACCGCGTGCTTGTCGTGCAACTGACACGTGTCGTCTTGGAAACACTGTTCTCCCAACCCTGCAATCACACACAAGGAACTAAATTAAAGTATCTATTTCCGTATTATATTATACAGACGGTGATGATCGCCAATTTTCAATAACATTTATTCATAGAATATTAGAATGTAATATCCTGCTCAATAATATATTGTACACATAATATTCATTACTTATTATATTCGAATTTCCCGCTCAAAATGTGGTCTTCTATTATTGACTATTGTTGACCTAAAAACGTATTGCTCTGTACGTGAATCAATTTATCAACCGCAAAATTTGTACAGTATCACATTATTAAACGTTTCTATAAATTTGCACGACAAAAATAAATTAAATTACACAGTATACACATTACAGTATTACACAATATAATAATGTGATGAGTATGACTAGAGATGGGAAAATTCTCGGGAATATAATAAGCTTTTAAATATTGATCATAGGTTTCAGTTTTATATTTTATATTTAACTTATGGTTGTAAACTTAGATCATATACAATGGATGGAGTCATAGCATACTACGCGTATAAAATGAGTTGATGCCAACATTACTGTAGGACCTGTGACATCTGCGCATGCGTGACTGCTTATCATAATACATCAATCTGTTTATCTTAACTGCGCGTCTGCAGTGCGACTCTAAGGTTGTAAATGATCCAAATGGTAGCTCATTATTGATATTATGTTAGTTTAAATATTATTTATTCTTTAAAATAGTTATTAAGTAAGTATAATTTAATTTTTCAATTAAAATCTGTACAATGATCACAAAATAAACGATCCAACTTTAATTAATATATTATGTTGAAAAAATAAAAATAAACTTGCTAAAACTGAAATACTGAATAACATAAAATAATAATTTTTTTTTTTTTAAAGAAATTTCCAAAGAGTTTGAGGAATATTCCCTGTACCCGGGAACATTCTTTGGGGAATATTCCTAATGGCACACCACTAAGTATGACTGGTGATAGTACAACCTAATTGTGTATACATTCACCTACCACAGTTTAAATGAATTGTACATTGTGCGTCATAACTGCGTTAGAAAGAAAAAAATATTTAGTAATTTCCTGAAAATTGAAATCCAAAGGTTTTTATAAATATTTTTGATAATTATACATATTTTACATACTAGATATAAATTATATATATATTACACGTTGATAGAGTCACTTCCAATGAAGTGCCTCCTACCTCAATCTAAAATCTTAAACGTCTGAAACCATACGACTTAGTTTAAGACGTCTGATATCCTTAGAGATATCTAATAGTTGGATGGCCAATGGATTGATATCGTGATCTAGCCTCGTCTCGTGTTTGCGAGCAAACCTTTGGATTTCGTCTGCTATTGTAGGCAGCATTATATCACGGTGCAATTTTTAGTGTACAAGTTAATAATTCTCTCCTTCCAACACAAGCTTTAATTGTTTATAGAAGGTAGATAAATCAATTGTTTATTATTTTGCATGTAAGTATTTTATAAATTGTTTAATAAATTAATTTAAAAAAAAAATGTATACACTAAATTAAAAATAAAGACAAATAATATTTTACCTATTATAATTATTTGTTTTAAACCATTGAAACCCTTCAGTGTATTTGTTTATTATTTTATGTACATATTTATCACTACAAATATTATATTTACTTTGCTTTACAACTCCCTAATAAAAACGTGTTGGAACTTGGAATGTACACAACACATTCAATTTAATTGGTTAAACCTAATTGCATTAATGTTTATCATTATAATTTATTGTATACCCTATAAAGGCTAAAATATAATATTTAAAAAAGTAATATTAATGTATTACTAATAAAAATAAATAATGGTATACAATTATAAAATATTTAGATTATAGATTATTTATTATAGAATAGTAAATAAAATTATAAATATTTACAACTAAATACTGTGTACCTACTACCTAACCGCATATTATTTATACTGTATTTATTATAATATTCTGAACAGGGTAATGGAAATATTAGTTTTACAGTACCTATTTATTTTCAAAGCTAAGACTAACAAATCTTTAGTTTTGATTACATTGTTTTAAAATTTAAAGCCTTGAACTTCAGTTAATGTTTAGTTATAAGTAATTTTACAAAATGGGAGATTCACCAAACAGTATTTACGAGTTCAAAATGTATTAGTGATAAATTAATATCACAACACGTATGTATAAATGTATAATATGTAATCACGAATCACAACTAATTAGCATAAAATGTAAGTTATGAATTTATGAATTTACTATACATTACAGACCCAACCCAATACGTATTACATATAGTATTATAGTATTATAATGCATTATAAATTTATTACAATAAAAATAACGTAGATGATATGATAATATTAATATTATTGGTCGTAACTCGCAATAGCTAAATAATATTATTATGTGTATTGTTATTGTACACGCACGCGTATCAAAATTGCCTATTCTTTGCGCCGTTGTACAAATATTCTTATAATTAAAAACTAGTTGTTACGGTCATTTAAAATTGTGTTAAAAGAGTTAAAGGAATCAATGAAAATATAATATCATTTATTAGATTAATTATTACTACTCTAATACACCATAATGTTGTATGTTTACTGAACACAATATTACAAAGCAGAAGTGCTGCAATGAGTGTACAAAAATATTAAAAACAATAAAATCCGATAATATTCGATCATCGTACATTGTATTGTATTATATATCTGTTTTTGGAACGATAATAATATCGTTCGTAGAAAAAAAATGAATCTATTTGATATTACTACGTTTAGGCTGCCACGCGTGCTTATTGAAACGGCGCAAAACGCGATATATATTATGTATTATGTATAAATATGTTTGTATGGAAACCACCGTGACGTTCACAGATTAAACAGTTGGTGCCCGTTGGCTTTTGCACATCGATTTTCTTTATATTTTATTTTCATATCCCCTCATTCTTGGCTTACTGCAGTTACACAAATATTGTACATTAACGTTCCCAAATTCAAGTAACATTGATTGCTCACGAATACTATTCACCGAGGGTGGATATTCGGTCTTTATAATAAAAATAAATACCAAAAAGAACCACACACACATTTATCAATTTAGAAGAATATATATTATACAGGACTAGGCGGACCTTTGTTTTTTATTATTGTTTCATATTTTAATCTTACAAAACTATTGTCAACACAATACACGTAGAATCATACACATTGCTTTATTCAATAAGCTATTTTATTATCACTTAACAGTCATTTTCTCAGTAAATACATATTTTTTTTTTTTTTATTCTATTGCTATTAGTCAATTGTATTATAGTTTTAAGTTATAAGCATTTACAATGTTAGTTCAGCAAAGGGAAGTGGCAATGCGGCATAAAGGGGTGCTCACATAATGGTGGTAAACTAATCTAAACTTTAAATAGCTGGTATATACGAACTTTAACAATATAGTAAAGTTTACTGGTTTGAAATTTGATTTTTAACATCGAAATCTCAGTAAAATATACAACTGGATCGTGAAATTATAAAATGTATGTTGTAATTTAAAAAATGTAAAAACGTACAAATTGATAATAATATAGAATTTTTTCAAAATGTTTGTGTTTTAAATATTTATTCAAAACACAAAAATGTATAAAAAATAAAAAGATTGTTAAGTGGTACATTATATCGATGACACTCCTCTCTCGGCCTTAAAGGTAATTCTAGCGGAAAACTTTGCCTATTTTCTCATATTGTCACGTAAATATGTGGAACATGTAGTTCGGAACATTTTCTAACGAAAACAGCGGGGTAGTAATATTTAGTAATTACGTTTTATCATTTAAATGGCGGAAAATCGTTTACGAACATAATAATGATTATAACACTGCTAAAGTTTTCTATAGGTACACAGCAATAACGTATATGGACTATAAAATATCAACATATACCTACGTATAATTATGTTCGTGACGTGACATGCAGTTTAACGTACATTTTATCGATCATTGAGTATTTCATTTTATTGAACACGAGAAACTAATGTTAAAATAACATCGCTTACGGGTTACTGATGAAAACTTAAAGAAGAAATATAATGTGTATAATTTAAAGTAATTAATATATATTTTGTGATGTAATATTTTATGAATAAATAATAATTTTACAAGGATTAATTTATCATTCGTAATAGTTTAATTAGTATTAGGTACCTAATAATTATATAAATATATATATATATAACTATATAGGTATATAGTTAATTTAAATTTAAAATTTAAAACAGAATAGTTACTTAATTAAAAATAATAACTTTAGTACTTCAAGTCAAGTTAATGAATACATTTCTATAAAAGATTATGAGAAACTATAATTAACCATTATTTACTTATAAAAACTGAAAACGGTGTTATAATATTTTATAACTTTTAAGAACTTAATTTACAATTTTTTTTTAAAACACTTTTAGGTAGGAATCATATTGTATTATTTCTTATTTTTTTTTTTTAAATTTACTATTGTTTTAAATTAAATTTATCACAAAAGTTATTTTTCAAGGAGTAAGTTAATATTTTGCTGTAGTATTGCACATGTATTTTACAAATCAAAATATATTTAATAATGTTAGAATCAAACTAATAACAATATCAATAATACAATACGCGTATCCAAAAATACATTATACAAATTGAATTAAAAATATACATTACATTAATTATTTTGTTTTATTAATAAAAATAGATATATCCTAGATATAAAACCCTAATTGTTTATTAATTTACAAAGTATCTATACTCTGTCCAGCGAAAAAACACTCCACAGTCCGACGAAAATCAGTTCTCAAACATTGCATCACCATTCGCCACGCGACACTCTGACATAGGGGAAAGTGGCACCGATCTCTATGGAAGTGTGTAGAGTAGGGGTGTGCTGAATCAGCATGTTCTCTCGCTAGACAGAGTATAATATACTCTGTAGATAAGTAAATTTAATTACCAAAGCTTTAAAGTTATAAATTACTAACAATCACA